TCAGAACTGACTCGATGGCCATGAACAACATGCTTAATAAACATACATAAAGCTTCTCATGTCTATTTCTATTATTAAAAAAAAAAAGTTTAAAAAATCTATTTTCTAGAAGAAAATGAACATAAGTGGTTAGAAGTTTCCTCTAAATACAAGCATTACAGATATTTTTTATCACAATTTCAAAGCTCATTAAAATTATGAAATAAATCAGTGAAGAACTTTTCCTTTCAATAAAAAACATATATACAGACATATATGTATACAAATGCACAGACATAAACATGCATACATATGTGTGTGTGTTTATTCATATAGGGTTCAGAAATTAGGCATAATTTATGTATAAAATGGCATATTTATTGACTGGTTTTTTTGATTGGTTAAAATTATGCATCTGCAGTTGGTACAGAGATGATATTGAATGAAAAAGCTTTCTGCAGTGCTTGGTTAAGTGATGCTGAGCCACTGGTAGAGCACTATTTTCTGTACTTTTACTTGATGTACCTTGCTGAGATTTGTTTTAATGATACATTGGGGGGGAGTGGTGATCCAAAACTTAATTTTATATGTTAATGTGACATGCAGCCATATATGTTATAGAACTCCAGAGAAGCCCATAGTCAAAAATAACTTCTTTCTATCACTCTCCTGACTCTCACCCTAGGTAATAAAATGTTAACAGCTCCTCACCAACGTATTCCCTAAGTAATTTTTTAGATGAGATCCAAAGTTTTACAACCATTTTCATCTGAGAAATTTACATACAATTTAAATTTCCTTGAGGCTTATTTAATGATAAAGGCTATTTCAGGACACAACTTTAAATGTTTAATGTGTGTGTATGTTCTAAAGGTGTGTGATTTGAAGGTGGAATGAATGCTTTTTTTCTAATGTAAACTGTAAAACATGTGTACTTTTTAGGTCTCTTTAGAATTACTAAACAGTTTTTTTTGTCAGTATGATAAAAATCACATAAAGCTCCAAGAAATTGTACACTGTTAAGCTTCCTATTGTTGTTAGATGCCATCAGGTCAGTTCCAACTCATAGTAAACCTGTATAGCGTTGTTGAGGAATGGCTAGTACATTTGAACTGCCTACCTTGAGGTTCAAACTGACCTTGGGGTTGAGTGCTTATCCTACAGTGCTGTACCAGAACTCCAATTAATGCTTAGGTCATTGCTAAACATGTATCAGGAAATGTTTTCTCTAGAGGTACTTATATTGAAGTAATAGCTAGTGATAATATGTCCAATTAATTAAAATAACTTGAATTTCCATCTTAATAGACCACAGACAATTTCAGTATGATTTCAAATTTTTTCTTGCGTTATTGTTATTTCATTGCGGTGAATGAATGAGTAACCTAATAATATGTTACTGGCTCCTGCATGAAAGATGCATCAAGTGCATGTAATGAAAAATCTGTAAAAGCACCAGATCACCATTGGGCTTTATAGTTAACCTATAAACACTACATATATAAGTATATAATTTTAAGTTGGCTAAAAAATTACTATCTGTAGTTTACTAATAAATTGACAGCTACTAAACCGGATTCCTTGGGCTGGTAACAACAGAGTTCAAGAATACCAGCCACAGCAGGGGAGGCAGTTGAAGCCATCTTTTCTAGCCCAGTAGAGTTGCTATGAGTCAGAATCTCCATGACAATGGGTTTGCATTGTTTTTTTAAGCATGACAAAGTGAAGACTATCATTTTGCAAAATAAAGGGGAAAAAAAAAGATTATATTAACTTTTTTTTTGGTAATTATACACAATTGTGTATTAGGAAATGACATAGAATAAAATAGGTTTATATTTTTATAGCAAAATATTTTTGCTGTTAAGTGCCATTGAGTTGGTTCCCACTCATAGTGACCCAGTATAGAGTTTCTGAGAAGCAGCTGGTGAGTTTTAACTGCAGATTTTGTAATTCAAACCGACTTTGTAATCCAGGTATTATCCTGCAGTACCAACCAGGACTCCCTACTGATAACTTAAAAATCAATAAACAAAATTAGAATATGTAATCAAGAAAAAGTCCTCATTAATATATGTCTATTGGACACCTCATTTAAACCACACAATACTTTTCAGCTAACTTTTTAATGAAAATATTTAATTAGTCTCCCAGCATGACTATATTTTTTGCTATGGAAATAAATGATAATTTTGTTATTAATAAACTCAATTTTGAGCTTTATGGATAATTAGATAACTTCTTTAGAGTTCATTTAAAAATAATTTAGATCTTTTAATTTTTTTCAGTTGTTTTAATGTTCTTGGTTAATCATATACTACATCATATCAGATTCATCAGTGTGTTCACTCTCCAATGACCTGTCGTTGTAAACACAATCAAAATCTCATTCACTCAATCATAAATGTGACAAATATTTTTCAAGCTAAATCTGAGCCAGGGATTAGTTCTATGCAAGAATATTAGTTGCTTCCTTTCAAAAAATGGTCATTAGTAAGAGAGCCAAAATACATACACAAGTACACATAATGCACTGTAAAATGGGTATCAAATCACCAGAGGTTTTCTGAAAGCATTTGATTTCAGAGGGATAAAAGATTATATCAACTTCATAGATTTAGGAGAAAAAATAAACAAGGAAATAATTGAACATAATTTTTATCAGTGGAAATTGTTAGAAAACTGGAGGTGAACTAATTAGTGTATGCAATGATGTGGAAGTATGGAGAAATATATCAGAAACTTAACTATAACATTTAAAAGAAACAGGAAAAGTTTCCCTTGATTGGATTCCAACTCATAACGACTCTATGGTGTAACATATTTAAGCAAACCATTGGAGATGATACAGGAAATGTGGGTTTGGAATGTGCCTTCATGAATCTTTATTATTCTATTTATATTTTGTAGCAGGGAATGAGCAAATAGAAGAGTTCCTTACTTATAGCAGTTTGGCTATAGACTTATTTCTCAGAGGGTAGAGACCTGGTTTGTAGCTATAGGGTACACACTGTACTGTTAACCACAAGGTTGGCGATTCAAACCTACAAGCCACTTGGAAAACATGTACAGTGTCACTATGAGTCAGAACCAACTCATTGGTACTTTACAATGGCTTAACAACAACAAAATAGTTTGTTTTGTTGTTGTTAAGGAAAGTAATGAAACAGTGTATGAGCATCAGTTAAAAGTTGCTGTGTGTGAGGCAGGCTGCTAACTGCAAGGTTGATAATTCAAACCCACCAGTCACTCAAAGGGGGAAAGATGAGGCTGCCTGCTCCTATTAAGATTTACTGGCTCAGAAACCCTATGTAGGGTCACTATGAGTTGGAATCAGTTCGATGGTGGTGAGTTTGTGTTTCTGAGGGGTTTGGGTAATAGAGATGAAAAATGGAAAATAATGAAAAGGAATAGATGAACCTATAGACACTTGAGTTGTGTCATTCTTGGTATTTGGTAACTAATTTGATTTGAAAGAAGCAGGAAAAGGTTCTGATCGTAAAGGACCTAGACCATGGTGAAATTATTAACTGTAGAGGATGGCAGGTCATGACTGAGAAAAGTAAAAATTTGTACACAAATATATTAATTTATTTTTCAAATCCATTGACCTTGAAATAACAGTAGAATTAATATCCCTATAAAGAAGCGTATCAGGTGTAATAGTATAGGCTAAAGAAATAAAACAGTGTGAAAGAGGTGTTAATTACTTGGAAGGAGATTAATGGAATTTCCAATAAATAGAGAATTTTATGTAGAGATTCTATGGAAATGCCTTTATATGAGTTTATAGAGGAGAAAGAAGAGTCAGAATAGGAGTAGGTAGAGATTCCAGCCCAAAAAGAATAATTAAAATCTAAAACACAGTCATTGGATTTAGAAGATACATCATTAGCAAACTTAGAAAAAGTATTGCCACTAATAGAGCATGGGGAATCCTAGTATGTTGCTGCTGGATAATGCAGTAGATCACAAGGTCGATTTAACCGCAGGGTTGGTGATTCAGCCTCACTAGCTGCTCCTCAAAAACCCTATATAGGGTTGCAATAAGTCGGAACTTTCTCAACAGCACTTACCAATAACAACAATAGAGCAAGAGGCAAGGGCTTAGAATTTACTGGGTGGTGGTATGCTGTTGAGTTGGTTTGACTCAGAGTAACCCTGCCTGGTTTCCGAGGCTATAAATCTTTATGGGAGCAGAAAGCCTCATCTTTTTCTTATGGAACAGCTGTTAGTTTTGAACTGCTGAACTTGAGGTTAACAGTCCAACTTGTAACCACTATGCTATCAGTTGGGGAAAACTAAAGTTTAAACAGTGGCACTGAGCGATTACAGGAAGAATGAATTGGAGTGAATTTGGTAATGATCTAAGGAGCACTGGTAGCGTAGTGGTTACGAATCGGGCTGCAAACATTAAGGTCAGCGGTTCGAAACTACCAGCCGCTCCGCGGGAGAAAGATGAGTCTTTCTACTACCGTAAAGATTTACACCCTCGGAAACCCTGTACAGGGTCGCTGTGGGTCGGAACCGACTCTACGGCACTTAACAATAACAACAACTAAGTAACAAAGAGTTGGCTGAACAAATAGGTTCTAAAACTACAAAAAAATTGAATTGATTGATTAAATCATGAATAGGGGAAGCTACTGTATCAGAGAAATAATTTAGTCAACTCATTCTTAAAAAGTGGCAGTGATTCAAAGATTACAAAACAATAAAATAAAAAAGTAAAAGGATGGTGCAGACCAATGTATCATGTATGGTATATAGGGAAAGGAAGTTAAAAAGATTTGGATGGCTTCAGACATTTCTGTGACATTCTGAGCAAGATTGTTTGCTGAGAGTGAGGCACACTGCATCAGGGGAATAGGATTTATCCCAAAGGAGTTTTAGTGGTATAATATATGACTACTGTGAGAAAAAGCTTACTGATGCAGTAGTTCCAACTACACTTTGGGCTTCTGGACTTGATATGATTCATATTTTTCAAATGTGGCTAATTGTAGTTTACTCTGTTCCAGGCGGTGTGGTTACAGCAAAGCAAAACAAGATCCAGAAGAGGAAAAGATGCATTTTCATAATGGGCATAGTAAGCAAATTGTAAAACAATAAAAACAAATGAGAAAAAAAGTGGGGAGGGCTATTATTTTGGTTTCTTTACAAGCTAGAGGATTTACAGTAACAGACAAAAATATACTGTGTAAGCTGTGTTCTTTTACATTTCTGCAAAGGTTATGAACCTGGAGCACTGAAAGTTGGCCCTAGGAAATATCTGGAAGTTTTACTTAATTCATAAATGCATAATTTCATTCTACTTATTTTTTTTAAACTTGTGCTTAATATAAAAATGTTATTGTTCAAACCAAATTCCAAGTAAATTCTAATTCCTAGTAATAAGTGAGTTGAAAGCTATCATTAAATAACACCATCATTTTGGATGAATATGACTTCCCAGTTCTATTTTTTCTTTTATCATTGCGCCAGAAATTACCACACACAGATCTTGATGTGTAGCAACCTTTGTTTAAAATACCTTGAAAGTGACTACACTTCTAACACATGAAGAAAATCATGTTTTAATTACTAGCTAAAACTATTAGTTCCAATTGTGATATTTTAATATGTTCATTATTCCATAAATAGTACTTTTAAGGATATTAATCAGATAATTTGCCAAATAAATGCTTCTGTTACTCCTTTATGCTTATAAAACTCAAAATCCATATAACCATAATCAAGCTTACAGTCTGTGTTCATAGTTATAATATCAGTTCAGACTTATAGCAATGCTGTGTAGGGTTTCCAAGTAGCAGCTGGTGGGTTTGAAATGTCGACCTTATGATTACTTGTCCAGTGCTTATCCTACAGGTCCACACCAGGAGTCAAATGCATATTTTATGTACTCATAACACATGGTAAGAGTGAAATTTATAGCCTTAAATGGTAATAAGTCCTTGTGTGGTGCAACACACACATTCTACTGCTAACCAAAAGGTTGGAGATTCAAGCCCACCCAGGGTACCTTGAAAGAAAGGTCTGATGATCTACATCTGAAAAATCAGCCACTGAAAACCCAATGGAACACAGCTCTACTTTGACGTGCATGGGGTCACCAGGAGTAGGAATTGACTGGAAGACAATTGGTTTGAAAATTAATCAAAATGAAAATATAAGAGTATTGCATAGTGTGATGTAGTAGCAGTGGTAAAGTTAAATAAAATTAATAATCTGTGATAATACTTGTAAGTAAAATATATAATAGCAAACTAAAAAATTAACCACTAGTCTTTAATTGCCCCGTTTAGTAAATAAAAACGCCCGAGTTTGTCACAGAAAGATCATTTGAATATTGTCATTGAAAAATGTGTTTATTCAGATTGGTTAGATCACAGTTCTATTTGGAATCACTTACATTACTTGTGCATATTTACAATCTTGGTTTCTAAAGCTATACAAGTGATATAGTTGTACAAATGCTACTCATAATTCAAGAGAGGGCATATTCTTGTAGTTCAGCCATTTTTTGAGATTGAGGATAAGCTATAGTTGCATTTTAATAAAGTTTAAAATAGCTCTCCTCCATCAAACCAGATGTATTTTAATGCTTATTTATTTTTACAGTCAAATTGCCAGGAGTAAGAACTTACATTGATCCACATACCTATGAGGACCCCAATCAAGCTGTCCATGAATTTGCCAAGGAGATAGAGGCTTCGTGTATTACCATTGAGAGAGTTATCGGTGCAGGTACTATGGTTTTAATGGTTAAATTGTGTCTGTAAGCAGCATGTAATAATATATCAATGTCCTCATCTAACAGAATTTTTAAAAATCTGTGGTGATAGGCTTGCTTTCAAAAGCGTTATGTTGATCATATTTTAACATTACCTTCCGTGAAGCTCAATCTTAATCAGCAAATGTTCTAAATGATCAAGTTTCACCATCTATTGTATATTTTTTTCCGCTTTCACTGCCTTTTACAGACAAACACAGAACAATGACAAATTTAAGTTTCTTACAAAAGATTCTGGAGTCCTGGTGTGTGGTGCTGTGGGCTAATGCCCTGGACTAAAAGGTCGACTTGAACCTTAAGGTCTGCAGTTCAAGCTCACCAGCTGCTACCTTCGTATTTCATTTCTCATACTCTAAATAAGTGTCATTTTCACTATTTGTTGCTGTTTTTGTTGTTAGGTGCTGTGTATTTGGTTCCAACTCAGTGAGCCTATATGGAGATTTTGAGGAGCAGCTGGTGAGCTTGAAGCAGTGACCTTGTGGTTACCACACAGTGCTTATCCTTAGCACCACAGGAAGACTCCCTTTTACTATTTATTGCCACATTCTTCACAGTTTTGTGTTTTTCATTAGTAATTTTGTAGGTTATTTGGCCAACAAAATGGCCTAATACGAAGTATTGAGTTGCTATCTAGTGTTCACAAATGCAAGAAATCTATTGATGTGATTTACAAAGAAAATATATGTGTTAGATAAGTTTTGTTCAGGCATGGATTATAGTACAGTTGCACATGCACTCAGTGTTAATTATATATATTAAATAATATGCCTTTAAACAGAAATGCATATAAAAGCAAAGTTGTACATTGATTGATTGATAAAAGTGTTGTATCCAGAGACTCAGAGGAACCTGACCCTGTATTTTTCTGAAGAGCAATAAATTCAGTGTTTGGTTATTTAACACTTAAGGCAGTTTGTGTATATATATATTTGTTGTTGTTGTTGTTGTTAAGTTTCGTCAAGTCGGTTCCGACCCATAACAACCCTGTACAGGGTTTCCGAGACTGTAAATCTTTACGGGAGCAGAACGCCTCATCTTTCTCCCACGGAGCGGCTGATAGTTTCGAACTACTGGCCTTAAGGTTCGCAGCCCGATTCGTAACCACTACGCTACCAGAGCTCTCTCTCTCTCTCTCTCTATAGATATATATCTTTAGTGATTGGCTTACATTCAAAAGTGTTATATAATTGATCATATTTTAATGTTACCTTCTGTGTACCTCATTCCTAATCAGTAAATGTTCAAGCAGCCCTGATAGTATAATGGATTATGAATTGGACTCCTAAACACAAGGTCAGTGGTTTGAATCTACCAGCTGCACTTCCAGAAAAACAGACTTTCTCTTACCGTAAAGATTTACAGACTCAGAAACCCTATACAGGCTCGCTATGAGTCACATTGCTGTTGTTTTTTGTGTGCTGTTGAGTTGGTTCCAACTCATGGTGACCTTGTGTGAGGTTTCCAAGGAGTAGCTGGTGAGTTTGAACCAGTGATCTTACAGTTCAAACTGACCTTGAGGCCAATTGCTTATCCTAAGAAGCCATACCAGGAAATAGTCATTACTTGGAGTAAGTGCTGTACAGACCGCTGGTGAGCTTGAACCGTATACCACAGCTTGATATCTATATATATATATTCCTTGATGGTACAGTGGGTTAAACAGTGGGATTCTAACTGAATGGTTGGTGGTACAAATTCACCAGCCACTGTGAGGGGAAATGATAGGAAGTCTGCTTCCATAAAGAGTTTCAGCCATGGAAACTGTATGGAACAGTTTTGCTATGGTCTGTAGACTTGCAATGAGCTAGAACCAACTCAAAGACAATGAATATTTGGTATATATATGGACTGACAATGAATATTTGGTATATATATGGACTTTAAAATGTTCCTGGAAAAATTTCATTATCTTTTAATTCTATTTTTCCAAGAACATTTTATATACTATATATATATACACACTTATCAAATCGGTGGTGGTGTACCGTGGAGTCGGTTCCAATTCATAGTGATCCTCCATAGGTATTCCAAAGCTGTAAATCTTTACAGGAGCAGAAAGCCTTATCTATCTCCCATGGAATGGCTGTTAATCTCAAACTGCTTATCTGGAGGTTAGCAGCTCGATTTGTAACCACTACACTACCATATATATATGTAAAAATGCTTGTTTATTTTACTCTGGTAGTATATATACACATGATATATATCTATATATATAGTTGTTGTTATGTGCTGTGGAGTCGGTTACGACTCATAGCGACCCTGCATAGGGTTTCCGAGGCTGTAAATCTTTACGGGAGCAGAAAGCCTCATCTTTCTCCCACAGAACAGATGGTAGTTTCGAACTGTTGACCTTGTGTCTAGCAGCCCGATTCGTAACCACTAAGCTACCAGAGCTCCATATATATATATACTCCATATATATCATGTGTATAGTCATCTCTTATGCTGTCATACATAGCTCCAGATAGATAGATAGATAGATAAATAGATAGATAGATAGCAAAAGTATTATATAATTGACACACGTGGCTTCTAATTGTGGATTGTCTCTTCTTTACAATTTTTTTTCTCTCTAACCTGCTCGTTATTGCTAGTCCCAGAGAAACTAGAAAGAAGTAATCATCAGTCAATTGGTTTTAACTTATCTCCAATGTTTCCATTAAGGATTTTATAGATAAAATGTATGAAACTTATGCTTAATGTATTCTGTGTCCATCTGTAGATGACTTGTCCCCAACGTATCATTTCTTTATGTTGACCTCGATTATGACATTCAGCTGGCCCTTATCTACTCTATAAATGTAAACTCTAAGTGAATATGACATCAAAATATTTGAAAGTTAGTGAAGATTGTTGTAACCTAAAATGAAGATATTTAAATCAACCAAAATTTTACAATTTTGATACTACATAAGTAAGTTCAAGTATGATTATAAGAGTAATACATGTCTAATGAGTTTGTGATTTTTGTTTTTTGTGTTCATCTTTATCAAAAGGTGAATTTGGTGAAGTTTGTAGTGGACGTTTGAAATTGCCTGGAAAAAGAGAATTACCTGTGGCTATCAAAACCCTTAAAGTAGGCTATACTGAAAAGCAACGCAGAGATTTCTTGGGTGAAGCAAGTATTATGGGGCAGTTTGATCATCCTAACATCATTCATTTAGAAGGTGTTGTAACCAAAAGTAAGTACAATGACAAATTGAGTATATGTGTATTTCTGTAGGATGGATATCTTATTCTTTCAAGTAATTTATTTATCATTAATTTCAAGTAAAAGAGGAAACTAGGCATATTAATTATCTAATAATAATTTCCCCAACTTTAAAAATAATTATCCTGTGTTTAGGAAAAGATTGTCAAAGCAGATCTTCATTGAAATAAAGTTTCTATTTTTTAAGCATACTTACCAATCTACTATGAATTCAGTGTCAGAGAATATATAACCAGATTTAAAAAAGCAATAATGTATTAAATTTTCCCCCTTCTGAATATTCACCTTCATCCTAATGAAATATTAACTTCAAAGTTTTTATTGAATCATTGAAGTTTAACATTTCACGGGATTACTAAAAATCATTGATGTCCTGCCACTTTTTAAACAGTTCTTTGCAGCCATATGTATTTATCTTATTCATATTCTTCACTTAGATATTACATTTTTTCCATGGTAAATAACAGCTTACCTGGGATCCTAAAAAAACATTCAAATTTCCCTGATATTCATGATTTATACAAGATCTATTATTTACACAGAACTACACATAACTGCATATCTTAAAATTTGTACGAATGTGCTTCAAAAAGTTCATTTGAAAAATAGAATTGAGACATAATGAATTTTTTCAAAGACCTTTTGATATCCCCTCATATTAATTATTTGGTAATGTGTTTGTATACAACATACCCAATATAAAGATTTCAAATGATTTTCAGTCATCCAATGAAATATTTATGTGGTACATAACTGAGGTACTTGTTTTATTTTACTCTATTACTTCTTTGTCATTTCAATGTTTTCTCATTTCTTCCTTTGCTAGTCATACCATATGTTGTTATTGTTGTTAAGTGCTATTGAGTCGATACCAACTCATAGC